GATCATGAATTACAAAACCAGATTTGTCAGATAAGATGTTTAACTTGTAGCTGGTTGGCTATGCGTATGTACATTTTGAGTTTTCTTTTATGAAATTTGATGTTTGAAAAAAAAAAGGAATTACAAAACAAGAAAATCAAATATGCATTACAAGGAAATACTTCATACGCAATTGACGCTCTTATTTGGCCAATCAAACAAATTTAGCTTGTTCAAATAGAGATTTTTGTTTCTTATCCCGACATGATTTTGAAAGTTTTCAAGAAAGTACACTCTTTACTCATCCTCAATTTTTGAATCATCAATCGGATTCATTTGTCAGGATAAGGAAAAAGAAGAGAAAGAGGAAATATCAATTCAACTATCAATTTTACACATTTTCTCACAAATTGCATTATTCATCAGCACACATATCCAATAAAGTCATATACAATCATTGTTTTACTATTTATAAATCACATCCACTTTCATCATCACATTCTCACCCTATATCTAGTCATACTCTCAAAATTATCTTTCTTAAATGAAGGACTTTCCATCACAATCTAAGGCTATGTTTGTAAAAGGATTTATTCAATCCAAATTAATTCATACTCAAAATCTAACTCAACTTTAACTCAACCTCACTATCCTCAATATTATCAATATAATTAAATAATAACAACCGTCAACCAATCATTTTTACACATCATATCAACTTTAATTTACTATTCATCCAATTACATAATTTTAACTAACCATCACTTCATATCATCTCTCTTCTACTTTTACATCAAATCAATTTTAATTATTTTATTTTAAATATTATTTTAATATAAACTCAAAATCCCACTAACAACTAACTATTACCACTTTTTTCTAAATTAACCCTAGTTAACTAAAAAAACTCACTTTGAGTTAATTCACTGAAATTATTTCTTTTACAAACACACCCTAAATATTCCTATCCATTTTTTACAGCAAGGAGACAACCACTTAGATCAACCACATTCAAAAGAATTAGGTACCATATCCAAATGCAGCTTCCTAAAAGATACCAAAAAGCCTTCTACATATAAAGCATGCTCACGAACACTTGAATATATATACACACATACCTAGGGGCACTGTCTTTAACGGTTTACGAATGGTTAAAAAGGCCTGGGTTTGGTAATTTTTTCTTTTTCAAGTTATAATTGGGACATAACAGAACCCTTTCCTGGTAATCAAATTCTTAAACAAGCTGAAATGACTTGACATATATGAAAACCTCGTATTACAATAATACTACTATGTGCACATCCAGCATTCACTGAACAGGTGAAGCATGACGTAAGCTGCTAATTTTATAAGAATTCTATATTGAGTAGTAGTTGCAGTGATCCAGAATCACATAAGCATGGTCATTGCTAAAGGCGCAAGTATTCACCACAATCCGTTTCCCTTCAAACAGTTACCACATCTTTTGACAGAAAAAACACCGATTAATGCAGCATTTTCGATCTTATCATGCCCGTCCAAGAGTGAAAGCAATAAAAACATGTTAATTGAAGTGAGAACAGCATGAGATAGGATAACATCAGAAGTATAATCGTACAATTTCACATGTCACACATATACAGGCAGTAAAGTAAAATGATTGTTTCTCACTAAGCAATATGCACTTCTTACTACAACAAATATCAAATATCTTCAACTAAAAAGGTTCTAAAGAGTGGAAACTGAAACAGGATTCTGCTATATAACTATTGGACATCAGTTCTCAAGTAAGGTCCACCTGAAAAAATGAAACCAATAGCTTGAAACTTAGTTTCATAATTTCTTAAAATGTTCAAAATAAGAAATCCTTGTCTGAATTATGCATCCATACTACACCGAATCAGCTCAGGACATACAAGAGCAACCAGAAATCCAAAAACAAACACACAATATACTTCACATAAGATATGAAATCTTCTCCACATAAGCATACAGGCCAATCGAAATAGTCCACTGCTAGTCAACCCGCAAGAAGATGAAAAAAAAAAGTGAAAGCGAACACACNACCCAAATAGGGTAGGGAAAAAAAGATTGAGAAAATTCAGTTGTCTTTTACCACAGATCTTAATGGGTGCTTCGAGCTCAAGAAGATTAGGTTGCTGCAAGAAAATCTCTTTGGACTGCACACAGAGCTGCCTGATCTCCGACTCAGAGAGCTGCACCTGCTTTCCCGGCCGCCCTTTAACCTCGAGCAACCGGTTTATTACACCATCAAGAGCCACCGAATCCATCTACTTTACCTTGCGCTTCACTAATTTTTTCATACAGGAAACTGTAAAAAAAGAAAAAGAATAAAAGGGAAAATGAAGGGCTGAAGTTGAGTTTTGGGTGGAGCTTGTTTGGGCAATCAAGATTGATGAAAAGGGAGCGGAGAGAATAAAGGGAGGCGTAATTTTGAATGGAAGGCTATGAGAGTTGAACTTGAATTTCTTTTTCTCTATTATATTTAATTTAACTAGTGCAGGTGTTTTATATAGTGTTGAATTAATAAATATCTATAGAAATTTAATTTTATTAATTGTATTAATATATCGGTAAATGCAAGATAAACCCCTACTTCACTAATCAATTTCCCTGTCAGTCCTCAATTTAATTTTCTTCCTCTGCACTCTCTTTCCAATTCACTCCTTATACTCATATTATCATTTTTCATTTATTTTACATGATAATAAATTAGTCTCTTTCTTCACTCTCTCTCTCTCTTCTCATCTCTCTATCGTCTCTGCCGATCATATCTCTCTCTCTCTCTCTCTCTCTCTCTCTCTCTCTCTTTCTCTCTCTTCGTCCATCGTCGGACTGTGAACACGATTCCTCCTCCCGTCGCCATATCTTCGGGAAGCCCTCCATTTCCGACCAAAAAAATCCATGAAGACAATGGCGGGGTCGAAAAAGAAATCCATATCGGACAAACCGTCTTCCTCGTATAAAACCGTAAAACAAGGTGAGATTCTTTTACAAAATATTTGATTCTATTCAACTTAAAAATTTGGGAATTTTTTTTCAAAATTTTGATTTTTTTCTTGAACTCGATTTTTTTAAAAATTTAGGATTTTCGTTGATGGTAATGCACTTCGAAGTTGGGATTTTATTGAAAAATTATGGCTCTTTCCATGTGTATAGGGTTCATAATTTTTTTTTTATTTTGGTACCCTTTTAAATTAGGGTTCTTTATTAATTAGGGCTTTGTGAAATGAATTTGGTGTTTTTATTTGGAAAATGAAAATGTTTCATATGAAGTAGTTGTTGAATTTAGCTCGAAATTGCTTGTTTGATGCTGCTGTTTGGTTCTTTATTGTTGAAATGGCCTGAGCAAATGGAGTGGGTAATTGTTGCTGCTGTTGTTATTGTTTTATATGAATTAGCTGTTGAATTTGACTCGCAATTGCTTGTTTGGTGCTACTGTTTGGTTGTTTATTGTTGAAATGACCTGAGGAAATGGAGTGGGCAGTTGCTGCTGCTATTGTTATTATTTTACATCAATTAGCTGTTGAATTTAACTCGTAATTACTTGTTTGGTGCTGTTGTTTGGTTCTCTATTGTTAAAATGACCTAAAAGAAATGGAATGGGCAATTGTTGCTGCTGTTTTATATCAATTAGGGCATTTGTATGAATATGCCATGAATGAGGTGTTGTTATTGTTGAAATGGATTGCGCTATTGTTGTTTGTATCTGTTTCTTATGTTTGAAAATTGTCTTTGTTTTATTTATTTGTGATAGTGCACAGAACTAAGATTTAGGTGTACCCCTTCATACTTCAAAGATGTTGTAGTGCCCCGTTCGATTTATAGAATTTTCTGAATTATTTATTTATTGGCATTATATTTTTATTTCCTTAATTGCTCGACCAATCTCGTTTAGACGTATTTTATTTTATTAGACGTTCCTTAATTAATATTATATGTCGTTCATTTTCTATTAATTGTTAGTCGTCAATCGATTAGTTCAAAATCCTTGGTTATTCGTGTTGCTATTATCCGAACCATTTTTCGAGCAAGTCTTAAGTTGATAATCGGCCCAATTTATCGGAAATATTTTCGGTCCATATAATTTTATTTCGGCCCAAGTTGAATTATTTTCCACCTTTATGTTTCAGCCCCTTTTTGTGTGTTTTGGCTCATTTTTAGAGTTTATAATCGGGCCCAATTGTATGAGGATCTTTGCCCATTTAGTTTTATCCTTTTCTTTCCCTCACGCATCTCTCCATTTGAAAGCCAGTTGCTATTTTTACGTTTATTGCTGCGTGTTGTGATTGATCATTGGCTATCGTACGTTGATTTCTTACACCTTTCCATAAAGTCCTTACTTTCACATAACTCCTCATCCTCTCTCAGATGTATTCTTCTATTTCGAAAATCCAGTCTATTACTTTCTCCTTCTTCTTTCTCATTTTGATAAACCCAATCCTAAATCATTAAAGATTGTTTTCGAATTTATGAGTGTGGCGAGTCGGATTAGTAAAAAACGAAGGCTAAACACAAGTATTCACGGCGATAGGATTAGGATCTAGCCACGCCCCTTAATGTGACAGACGAGTCTATGGCGATTGGTTATGACTTTGACTGAGGGTTATGGCTTATGATCTGGCTTGATCTACGAGTTGAGCAGTCGTGGTCCAGGGGCTGAGAGCCTCAAACTTTGGCCATCGATATCAATCTCCAGGCGAATTCATATGAATAAGAATTTTCAAAATCCACGTTAGTAGGCTAGCGGTCGGGGTGGCTGAGGATCGAGGTTTTATAGATCTCAAATTTGCGATTTCCGATTTGAGATGACTTTTCATCTTGTATCTTTTGATTTGATTTATACTTTTTAGCTATAGAGTAGATCATTTGATTTATTTTCCGGCTCTCACGTAGCTTATTTTTTTGTCGTGGAAATATAAAGAAGATGTTGAAAATTAAATGATTCTTGTTCCAAATTTTAGTGCTTGTTTTGCTTATGCACGGAAAGCTTCAAGGGGTGATTGGATATGAATTCAACTAGTAAAAAATTAATTTTTTTTAATTATAGTTAAGTTTGAAAAATAGTGGTAGAGTTAGTTGTTAGTGGATATATTAAAATAATATTTAAAATAAAATAATTAAAATTGATTTGATGTAAAGGTAGGAGAAAATAATTGGAAGTAGTGGTTAGTTAAAATTATGTGGGTGGGTGAATAGTGAGTTAAAGTTGATTTGATGTGTAAGAATGATTGGTTATATTATTTAATTATATTGATATTATTGAAGATAATTGAGTTGAGTTAAAGTTAATTAAATTTGAGTTTTGATGGTTTTTCTACTGTACAACTTATATACAATCGCATCCTGAGTTTTTTGCGTGACTGTTTTGTTCTTTTTATTTTAATACATATACATATTTTAAAATAAAAAATTGAGAATCCGGTAGATCTGATAAAAAGAAGTTAAACACTATAAAGCAGGAATTTATTTTTTGAAAAGGTACATTGTTGTCCTTTAGGCTAAAAATTACAAACATGTATAATTCTAAATTCACTTACCTGATCATAGAACAATCATACATGTCGTCACGAGTTTTTTTTAAGAGAAAATTACCTCCCGAACCATCTCCAACATATTTATTGCGTATAAACTACACATATATACTATTTAGCAAAAGTACCTGACTTGACTATTTTATTTGTAAACCTACGAGCATCAGTTTCCTTGTTTTAAATATTTTAATTAAGGAGGATATACATTTTATTTGGATAGTAGCGGATTTAATGGGATTTGCGTAGGAAGTCTTAAACATATTTATACCTTTCTCTCTCCTCCATTCATCGTCCTCATCCGAACCATTTTCTTCTTCACATCCTCTTCTTTCCATGGGCGACTACAAATATGCATCCGCCAACCGCCTATTCTTCTCCTTCGGCGTCTCTTTTATTTCCTTTTCCTTCTCCACCTCCTCCTCTCGCCCCTCATCTAAACCTTCTTCGTCGCTTCTCTCGATATCCTCAATGTCGAAGGCTCCGAACATCCTGCGTTGTTTTATGCTCGGCGAGCTCGAAGAATGAATCGTCATTGATGGAGGAGTGGCGTGGCAACCGGAGGTTTCGACGGCTGAAGCGGACGACTAATGTGCAGCGGTCCGTGTCGGCTTGTGAGTGGCGGAGGTCGTCGGATGACGAGCTTCAGCCGAGGGCGGTGAGAGCTCCATCCGTTGGGCGCTGACGACAAAAGGTCGAGCACCGACAGAGGAAATGTATGTTCATGTATAGTTTATGTTTAGTATATTAGCATATTTTTTTTTGTTGATGAGGAAATTCATATGAGACAACGAATGAGCATTTTATTTTTGTGTTGATTATTGTTTATGTTGTTTTGGATATTCATATTAATGTTTGTTGTTACGTTTTTATTTGTAGTTCTGAAGTGGGGGTTGTTCTAATTGTTAGCTTGTTGAGCTCGTATTCTCAAATCTATGATGAACAATCCATGTTCTAATTGTTAACACATTTTTTTCTTTGTTTAGGATATATGTTTATGATAGGTATATTTTATGTTATTTTATACTTTTTTTATAAAAAAAATTATGATTTGTATATGTCACAGTTATGTTTAATCTACAGAAGCATTAGTTGTACTTAAAATGTTTTAATTTTACAATTCTACAATTGTTATACTATTTTCGAACATGTTCATTTCAAGTATATATCACAGAAACCAGTTTTGCTATAGAGCCATTGAATGACTCGGCTTATGGAGTCATCCATAGTTATTGACAATGGTGTATTGACACTTGTCTTGCAATAAATACACTTTGCAATAAATACACATTGGATAGGGTGTGCAAACCGAAGTGTATCGAGGAGAGTAAGCATTCACGTGCAAGCCATTCGTCTATGCTCAGCCCAGAACCTCGAAATTCCTCATTCAACGCAATCCTCATGCTCGATCGCACGAACACGTACCTGCCAAGAAAAACACAGAACTCCAAAACTCCTATTATTCAAAGATAAAATAAAAGAGCAAAAAGAAAAATATCTAAGAAAGCGATAAATCACTTGGGTTGCCTCCCAAGAAGCGCTTGTTTAACGTCATTAGCTTGACGAAACCTGAGTACGACTCAACCAGGTCCAGAAAGAAATGGCGATCATGCCACGCCTTCGTATTTTTTAGAAGTGGTAGTCCAGACAGTTTGGCAAGAAGGCAGGCATGGTAGATCCGGGTGGCTGTGTTCTGGAGGAACCTGACGTGGGCACGAGCAATCCCCAGTAGTTGACATAGAGCCTTTCCCACCCGAGCTCTATCATCAACCTTAGGGATAACGAGCACATCCGTGGAACAAGTCGAGCTAAATCTGGCCCACTTGGTAGCACAGTGCAACAACCTCGAAGATAGATGCTCCAACTCAGAAGTGGGAGGAGTGACTTGAGAATCAAGCCTATGGATCTCCTCCTCTGAAATAACATCAACGTCTCGCTGGA